GCAACTGTGTGATGCCATCATGTCAATATGGACCAAAATCTCTGAGGAATGCTTCCAGCACCTTGTTGAATCTATCTACCTAATTTAGTTTAACCAATTATTGCACACTTTCTGWAAATCATATCAACTTTACTGTGTTTGTCCTCTATATGATATATTTAACTGATATTTTTATCCAAACAATCAATGATTTATAAAGATAAATGAAGAAGATTAACAAGCCTGCCCAAACTTTCACACCCAACTGTATATTTAAGTGCAAGGCATAGACTAAAAATTTTAATTGCCATTAATTGAAAGATATTTTTGCAATTAATCACGAATAATCACAATAATTTTTATACAGACAATTACTTTGCTCTGGCTGAATGTGTATGTTTGTATGTTGCAATGTACTCCATCTGTGACACACTTGTACTTTCTTTTGTTTTTCTCTGTTTTCTTACTTATTGTATTTGTTTTCTGACAGCTGGGACCTCAGTATCTATCTTTCATACTCATAGTACTCATTTGGAATGACAAAATATATTGATTTCTTGATTAATCTCATTATCCTGCACTATGASTCTAAGATGTTTAGAGCATTGTTTAGGTATTGTTTCAAAAAAAGGGGCAATGCATTTTTAAAAACTAAACAAGTAAAGCACTGTGTCTTGTTTCAAAACCTGTACCAAAGATAATTGTGTAGTTTGAGTGAAATCTGTTGGAAGAGGTTTGAAAATGTATTAATGTCTCATCTTTTTAAAGGGTTTTTACACAACAACATGAACAGTGTTTGGACATGTGTGTGTGTGACTAACTTACTGAGACACAAACCTTTAGAAAAGAAAAAAGTGAATCACTGCAGTTATCACCACTTTCCATTCTCCAGTCAGCCATTTTGGATATTTCATGTTAGAGTTCAGGGGCTGCGAAACAATTTGTTATTTCTGAGTTGGATTTCTGRCTTCGAAGCATATTTCAGTCAAAATTTTATTTTATTTTTTATGCAGAAATCCCAATTTTTGTGTACGGAAAGCACACCACTACAGTTCATACACAAGTGCTCATTTTCAGCTTTTAACAGATTGATGTAGAAATGGCATGCTTTCAGTCCTGTTTTATTGGTAAAATAACAAAACAAAGCATCTAAATTTAATCCCAGGAACTCAATTTATTCACATCACGAGTGCAAGTGTGAGTCAGTACAAGCTAGTTCAGTCTTCACATCACTTTGTTTTGTTTTTCRCAGAGCAGTGTGCTGTGGGAGGCTGATCCACTCACATGTTTGTCTTTCATTTCAGCTCTATGATAAAATCAACACCAGGTCCACTCCTCAGGTCAGAAACCCTGCCAGTGATGCTGTGCAGAGAGCTAAAGAGGTGACGGATCACACACACACACACACACACACACACACACAC